AAATCTTCAGAGCCATTTTGCAAATCATAAGTCTTAGCTGTACTTTCAAAAGGGCGTGAGAGATTATTCTAATTACTGACGATTTATTGTGTGGCTGCCAGACACACCTCCGCCTCCATTCATTCCATCCTATTCTTTCAGCTTTTACTTTGCTTTTGCCTCATGCCTACTACAGGATTTGCTTCTCTGACCCTTGACTGCAGGTCAGGGATTGCTAAGGGGTGGGTGCTTGCGCTCATTCATTCACAAATTCACACCCACAGAGGTAAAGCTGCACTTTCACATTAACAGACTGGTCCATCTTCTACGTGGAGATCAGGAAGCAGGGGTGGAGCTTATCCGAATGTCTAATCTTTAATTCCACCCTCCCTTTTATATAAGAAAAGATTGAGAAGATTAATCAAACAGCCAGGATTACATTTGGCAGGGCAAGCTTCTCACGCAGAGAGGAAAATGTAAACCTAACTGAGGGAGCGTGCTACTCTCTTATGGATTACGGATTACCAAGGACTAAAGTCATGCTTTAATTTGCACATATTAAGGAAAGATAAGGACCTACATACAGAGCTGGGTGAGGAACCAAGCAGCTAATCTACTGGTACCTGCCCGTCTCTGAATGGAGAACAATGCCCTGCTTTTCTAGAGACCAAACAAATTGGTCTCACTCACCATGTGAAGGAAAACAGCTTGTTCAACCTAGCCTGTGGGAGGGGCTCAATTATTTAAAAATGCCCCCACTGAAGCAGAACTCTATTCTGCATGTTTGACAAAGGTTCGAAACAAGACTCAAAGACTAGGTCTTTCATCTGCCAGGTAGGTGGGGCTTTGAACATGCGTCCCTTTTATATTGCATTGATTGTTACACTGCTCACAGTGGCAGAACTGGGAGTAGGTCACAGGCTGGCTGGGGAATTCTGGGAGCTGAAGTCCACCCATCTTCAGGCAGCCAAGATTGAGAAACACTGGACTGAATCAGCCAAGGCAGCTAAGGAAAGAGAAAATACATTGATGAAAGACTCCAGTTGGATATTACTGTGATAAACCTGAGATTTATGCTGTTTTCCAGTGACTACAGCTGTTCTAAATCTAGTGCCTAATTTAATGAACTTGTATCTCACCTTTGTTATAATTTACAAATAATTCAAGATGCCAAACCTTCCTCCTCCTATTTTCCCCACAACCACCACCCTGTTAGGTGGGTTGATTTTGCTGAGAGTGATTGGCCCAAAGGCACCTAGCTTGGTTTCATGGCTAAGGCATGACATGAACTCATGATCTCCTACTTTCTAGACCAAAATGTCTCTTGTGACATGTGAGTGCCCCAATATGGCATGACTGTAAGTTCATATAAAGATACCTTGAGTTAAAACTATCAGCCGTACTGGAGTTTAGATAGAAGTTAGGAACAAAATCTGTGCCAGTAGTTCCTCTATCCTTCCATGCATTAAGTCTTTGTAAAGGAGTCAGAGACCTCCTTAAGTGGAAAAAAATAGCCACTGGAACGCAGTAATAAATCACAAATGTGTTTACAGACTCGACAGGCATAGGTCAAAATTAGAAAGATTTGGATCCACCCTGCCCCTACAAGCTTTTAAACTCTCTAAAAACCTGGCTTTTACTACAAGTTCATCAGTGACGGGCTCATTTGATCTGTAGTTTGCTTTGGTTGTGATATCCATTTCCTTGTTCTGTAATATTCCTTTTGTTTCTTCTTAGGTTGTAATTGTATGCTGCCTAGAATCAGTTTTGAACTGGAGTAGTCTTAGCAATTGAAATTATAAATGTAGCCTCTCTGAATTACATTTTGTTGTGCATATTTTTGCCTGATTTACTGCAGACTTACTTATGTTGTGTCCTGTATATTTGGTTTTTAAAGTTGCATCTTACTTGCCTTCTCACAGAGCTCAAAACAGCTTGTAATAAAATCAGCTCTTTTTATTAATAACTTGAAGGCTTTAAGTGAATTAAACCCAAAGAAACCCACCCCCCCAGCACTGTTAAGTGTTGAAGATTTGTTAATTCATACATCGTTGGCACAATATACCTTCTGATTTTTCTAAAAACTCTACAGTTTGGTGGAATTAGAGGTCAGAAAAACCACTGATGTTAATGGATGAAAGTTATGACTGCCAACAAAATGGCTATGAGTTTGGAGATACTTAAAATAATTATTAAGTATTCTGTTGAGGTATATGAGCTCCTTGGGGATGTCACATCTATCTTCCTATAAGCCAGGAAATCTTTAAAATGGGACCACATAAAAGGACAAGGTACAGATTGCCGACTTACAACCATTCATTTAGTGACTGAAGTTAAAGCAGTATTGAAAAAAGTGACTTATTGCCAGTTTTCACACAAATGACCACTGTAGTATCTCCATGGACACATAATCAAAATGACATACTGTATTTTACTGTAAGATTACTAATTTATTATTTATTTTATTTATTAATAAGATTTATAGGCCGCCCAATCCAATATACTGTATTTTTCAGAGTATAAGACGCATCTTTCTCCACCAAAAAAGGGGGCGAAAATCTGGGTGCGTCTTATACACTGAATACAGCATTTTTACCCTCCCAAAACCCTGTCTCATGCATCCTGTTTTTCACAAAAATGGATGCACAGAGGGTTTGGAAGCCTGCGGAGTGCTCCTGGGGGCTGGGGACGGCAAAAACAAGAGAATAATGGGCCTGTATTTCACAAAATGGGGATGTTTTTGCCCTCTCCAGTCCCCAGGAGCACTTTGCAGGCCTTCCAAACTCTCTGTGAAAAATGGGCCATTTTTTGCTTGTTTTTGCTCTCCCCAGCCCCCAAGAGCACTCTACAGGCATCCCAAACCCTCTGCAAACCCTGTTTTTCATCCCCCCCAAACCCCTACGTTTTGCTTTCCCCAGCCTCCAGGAACATTTTGCAGGCCTCCCAAACTCTTTGCACGCCCCGTTTTTGACAAAAAACAGGGTGTGCAGGGGGTTTGGTAGGCCTGCAGAGTACTCCCTGAAGCCGAGGAAGGCAAAGATTTTTTTTTAATGTATCTCTTCAAAATCTTGATGCGTCTTATACTCCGGTGTGTCTTATAGTCCAAAAAATATGGTATATTTATGACAGTTACAGTCCCCAAGTATGTGATCACCATGTACAATCTCTTCAGTCAGCTTCTGACAAGCAAAGTAATGGAGGAAGCCAGGTTCACTCAACAATGGCATGATTCACTTAACAACTCAGCAATTCACTTAACAACGGTGGCAAAAAGTTCATAAAATGAGGTGCAACTCACTTAACTACTGCCTTGCTTAGCAATGGAAAGTTTGGGCTCAACCGTGGTAATAAGTCGAGAACTACCTGCAATATTCTCAGTGCTACAGTCTGTTTCTCATGACCCTTTTCCTATCCAGACGTGGTACTGCATTAAAAAAACCACTCCCATGCCTATGAAAGGACATCAAACTATACCAGTGACATGAGATGCTGAAAACTTATTAGAACGATAGGTTTGCTCAGAATAAATAACCCTGGCCAGCCAGCCAGTCTTGAAAACAATATGCACTGTATCTTTTTTTTTATTGTACTGAGTATATTATTACCCATCAGATTCTTATAGATTCCCATCAAGTCCTATGATTAAGACCTTCAGACTAGATTTGTCTTGTTAATCAGACTGTACCTTACCCATTGCCTCAAAAAACAACTACAGGTAGTCCTCAGCTTACAACTACAACTGAGCTCAAAATGTATGTTGCTAGGGGAGAAATGTGTTAAGTGAGTTTTGCCTCACTTATAACACTAATAATCACTTTTGTTAAATGGTTCCCTGCAGTTGTTAAATTAGTAACACGGCTGTTAAGTGAATCCGGTTTCCCCAATGCCTCAGAAGGTCGCATGACCCTGGGTCACTGTAACCATCATAAATGTGCATCAACTGTCAAACATTCAAATGTAAATTGCGTGATCATAGGGATGCTGCAATGGTCATAAGTGTGAAAAGTGGTCATAAATCACTTATTTCAGTGCCGTTGTAACTTTGAATGGTCACTAAGTAAACTGTTGTAAGTTCAGGACTACCTGTATTTTGTTAGGAATGCTAACTATTAGAGACCAAAGAGGGAACTATAAAATGAAGGGGGGGAAAACCCAGAAGAGTGAATATCTAACAAAAAATACAAAAGAAGCAAAAGTAATAGCAGCAGCTAAATCTACTAATAATTAAGCCATACAACTACTTCAAAAATTGCTTCTCAAGTACTGCAGAAGACCAACCCATAGGGAACAATAATGGGAAAGGATTGCAATTTCATTTTTGTGAGCAACAGAAATAAGAAATCTTTTAATTTGCTTAGATTCTGAAAATCTTAACATTTAAGAAACCCAAGAACCATTCCCTAACTTGACCCATAATGTAATAACTCAACAGATTAAGAAAAGTCAAGGTTTGTATACTGCAGTCTCATCATTTTTTCCCCCCAATACTGGGTTAAAATTGTTTATTTGGCTTAGGCAGTTTATTTTAATCTTGCTTACTGTAATGATGCAATTTATTACATTATGCTATCTTCATCATTAGTTTTGCCTACTATTTGTTTTCAAGTGGCCTTTAGGTCATATTATATATACACATTTCCTTGAATATCTATGAGGAAAATTCAAAATATCTCTGCACTAAATGCATATGGATTCTTTTAAGAAAGGTAAGGAATCTTTATATATTTTGCATCGAAATATGTTAAATATCAGATAGTACTACTTGTAAAGCTACCATCAAATTATGTAGATTACATATGGATCACCCGTCTCACCGATTTCTTTCCATACTTTTATAAAAATGGCATGGTATGATAACACTTGGGTTAAAGGATCCACAAAAAGACATGCTCAGTATCATCTAGGATTGTAATTCAAGCAATCCTTAATTTCGGAACTGCACCCTTCGGATATTTGTCCTAGAGTATAATTGAGTTGAGAGGTTTGTGGAGGAGAGCAAGAATTAATGCTCAGATCTGCAGTTATCATTGCAATTATGTTTTTAATGCATAGGAGAGAATGTGGCTTTAAACTAAACAACATTAACAGTGTCTGGGAAAAGTAGATAAATTGGCCAAGAGTTAAATCCAAATGTGTAACTGCTTCCTTGGGATGAACCCCAGTAAGCAACTGTGGAACACTCAAACACTCAACCTACACCTGTTAACGCAACACAATCGGAGTCAAGCCTGTAACCACACACCCCTTTTGTTATGAAGTAAATTAAAAAGTAGTAGTGCAGGCAGCCAGGCAAGTCCTGCCCAAGTGCAGGGGGAGACCATTTCATATGTTTCCCCTCCCTCCCCCATCCCATTTGGAGCAAGGATTATCAAAGGAGCCAACTAGCCATCTGAGGTCTGGGGATGTGAAAACAAGCCAGAGCACACACTTTAAAAACAAAACAAAACAGGAAGAACAGATTAAAATGGAGCCGATTCCAGGTGAATGAAAAAACAGCCCTGAAGTGAATGAATGGAAAGGATGCCTGTTTTCCTGTGACGCTGTCCAAGGGAGACTCTCAGGGTCTGAGACGATGCATTTGCATTCGTACAAATGAGTTCTGCACGAACACACAGGTCCTCCAGATTCATGCTATTTTTATCTTTTACTGAACAAAAACAACAAAGCTCTTTTGGCAGCTGAATGAAACCAAGATCAGCTTCTGTTTATGAGGAAACCCCCGGGAAGGATAGGATGAAGCCAGCACTCGCAGGCTTGCATATTCTCAAAGGGCTGCATCTGACAAACGTTGTCTGTTCTAAAAGGAGTTCTCAGACTCTCTCAAAGCTTGCCTTCAACGGTCTTGCCCCCCACCCCAGCCCTCCCTCCCCCCACAGCCAGAGAGTCTGAAAAGGCACCAAGGGACAGTTGACGTTGTGGATACTGGATACACATGGCCCTGGGTAGGTGGGGCAGGGTGGGGAGGGACAGTCTTTTGTTGGCTCAGAGAGTTTCACATGTTGGTGCTCATCCGGGACTGGCTGTTTGCTGGAGTGAGTTCACCTTGGCTTCCTTCTCGTGGAGGAGACTGTAACAAGGCAAGAGAGGGAGAGAGGGAGAGAGAGACCCAAGGCCCAGTAAGCAATCAAATAGGAAAAGAGCTCATCTCCCATCCCACAAGTTGCCACACCAGCAGGCAAGTGAAAGAAACCCCCAGGGAGCCAAAACCAGGTGAATGGAAAAAGAATTAAGGACTAAAAGATTAGATAGCATGGAGAGACATGGTTTTACTCCTTCGGGGGGGAAAAAGGGCCAGCAGTAAAAGAACCCCATCTTTTGGGTGTCTCACAAAGTATAACACAGTTAAAAGAAACTGAGGACTTAGGGCCTCCAAGGATGAAGGTTTCTTCTAAGGCTGGGCAAAAAATTTTTGAAAGAAGAGTTTCGTAATGTGTGCTTCCTTTAAATAGTTCAAGCAGTTATGCCTATTGCTAGGGTCACACTACTACTTCAAAAGCCGTTCCCAGCCGCTTCTTTCAAATGCCTCGCATAGCCCTCTTCTCTTCCTTCATCTTCCCTGTGGATCTGCCAAGAAAAATCCACTTTTGGATTATGTTCATTTTGTCACTTCCTGCTGCAGGAAGCTCTGTGCATAATAAAACAACAACATTCATTGCTACCACGTGTACAATGGATACAAATCTAACATTTATAAGTGGAGTTAGAGTGATTCAGGGAGTGACAACCACTATTAATTTTGAGGGCTACGTACCAGCACAGCAGTCAGAAGCAAAGTTTCTTATCTCCCAATTTATGGGGAGCCACATTGAAAAAGGGCTATTGCCGTGAGGTCCACAAGTGGATGGGTGTGTTTGGTTATTGCAGAATAGAAAATTTGACTAGAAAGGCCTTAGGCTTAATGCAGCAAGGCTCTTCTTACATCCGCAACAAAATCTGTACTGAAATAATGTTTCTAAGAAAGTATCTTATCTAACCTGCTTTGGGGCCTTCAAATATCTATGCATCAGCTGAAGTCATTCAGGAGATGGATAGGAACTACTTGCCCTGATTCCGCTCATCAGCTCAGTCCAAATGCCCTCATTTATATTTACACCAACTTCTGATTTATCTTGATTCACGAAGATGCAAACACCCCCCCCCCAATTTTTGCTCACCTTCACATGGATCTGATTACGCAGGACAGCAGCTCGTAGGATCATAGCTTTGGCGCGACGCTGAAACTCCTTTCCCATGAGCAGGGACTTTTCAAAGGTAGTACTGCGTTGGTCAACATCTCTGGCATATAAAATCTACAGAATAAGATTAAGTAGCAGGGGAGATACAATTCAGAGATGAAGAGGAGCAGCAAATGACGTCTGAGAAGCAAAATTCAAAAGCCCCTCTGGTATTTGTTGAGGGAAATGAAAGAGACCTTCAAGTTTCTAGGTTTTATCATATCTCAAGATTTAAAATGGACACCTAACATCAAGAACGTCATCAAAAAAGCACAACAAAGAATGTTCTTTCTGTGCCAACTCAGAAAGCTCAAACTGCCCAAGGAGCTGCTGATTCAGTTCTACTGAGGAATTATTGATTCCTCAGTAGAACTATCATCTGCACCTCTATAATTGTCTGGTTTGGCTCTGCAATCAAACAAAACAAACATAGACCAACAGATAATTAGATCTGCAGAAAAACAATGGCTACCAATCTGCCTTCCATTGAGGACGTGTATAGTGCATGAGTCAAAAAGAGGGCTGTAAAAATATCTACAGACCCCTCACATCCTGGACATAAATTGTTTCAACTTCTGCCCTCAAAATGACGCTATAGGGCACTGCACATCAGAACAACTAGACACAAGGACAGTTTTCCCCCCGAATGCCATCACTCTGCTTAACAACTGATTCCCACAATACTGGCAAATAATTTACTAAGACTGTATTACTAGTATTCTTCTCTTCCTTGCTAGTATCTATCTCTCCCCACTTATGACTATAACCATGTTGCTTGTATCTTTCAATTTATATTGTTTTTGTTTACTAATATGATTTGATAGCTTATTAGCAACCTTGACTATCACTAATTGTTGTATCTTTTTATTTTTGATGAATGTATTTTATTCTCCTTATGTACCCTGAGAGCATAGGCACCAAAGACAAATTCCTTGTGTGTCCAATCACACTTGGCCAATAAAGAATTCTATTCTATTCTATTCTATTCTAAATAGCGAAAAGCATCTTCTGAAAATTTAAAAGCCAAAATAATTGAATTATTTTTACGTAGAAATGATTTTTTTTCTTTAAATAATTATTTAAAAGCAAAGCAGAGTTGCTGGATAACTAGGAGTTATACCTTGTCTACAGTATCCAAATTCTTATATTGAATAAAATATTCTAGACTACAGGTATTTGTCAACTCACAGCCATTCATCAAGTGACCAAAGTTACCATAGCACTGAAAGAAGTGACTTATGACCTTTTTTACTTACAACCATCAAAGCATCTCTATAGTCACATGATCAAAATTTGGATGCTTGACAAATGGCCTGTATTTATGAGGTTTACAGTGTCCTTGACCAGTTTCTACAAACTTTTGACAAGCAAAGTCAATGGGGAAGCCAAATTCACTTAATGACCTTGTTACTAACTTAACAACTACAGTGAGTCACTTAGCAACTGTGCCAAGCAAGGTCGTAAATTGGGGTAAAACTCATTTAACAGCGGCCTCCCTTATCAACAGAAATGTTGGGGTCAATTGTGGGGCCCAACTGATTACCCGAATGGCACAATTATTATGCACAAACAATTAAGTTCATTCTCTCTAGCTACCCATTGGCTTTCAGCAGTGGCCAGAGAGACTTAGAACCACTTGTACGACCGGGACTCACCTTGCTATGGGAGTCTATTCTGGCATTTATTAGCCCCTCTAGGATCAGCTGGGTGAGCTCATCCTCCAGAGCTGCCACGGTAGTGTTGAAAGCGGTGGCCATCTTGCGCATGTCTGCTGACACATAGGGGCTGAAATACTGGGAAGAAAGGGAAAAGTCAAGAGAGAAAAAGAGACAGAGAAATATATGGAGAGTGACTCTGCACTGCATTCAGTGAAGGAAGGAACAAAGGAAAGTCACAATTGCAGCCATGGGTAAAGACAGTTACCTGGATAAGGGCCCGATTTCGTATCTGGGTGTAAAGTGTTCTCACATGAGGCGCCAGGTACATGTCCAATAGTAGGTTATCCTGTCCAGAACAGCAATAAGAATGGACATAAAGCTTTCCAAAGCTTTGCTCTATAAAACAATCATTTCTAGAGTTTGCAAAGTGTTAATAGTAAATAGAAAAGAAACACTGAATCTACCTAATAAGATTTACTAAGGCACTGCCATATTTCCTTTGGAGTTATCATAACATCCATTAATTTCTTTCTACTATTTTGCTATTCACCTGGGAGAACTGGAAGTAACTGTAATAGCAATAGAGTGAATATCCAAAACTATTAACTGTTTCCTTGTTTTCCCCCTGAATAGGGCAGTCTCATCCCTTACACATGATGTATCTGAACTCACTCTCAAGATAGTACAATTTCAGCCTAATGGCTTTTCATAGACAGTCTTTTCCTCTAGCAACATGTGTTTCCTTTCCTTCCTGTTTTTTTTAAATATATTTTATAGGAATCTGTGTATTTATAACAGTACATAGCTATAAAGTATTTTTCTATTTTTCAGATTGAGCTTAATACCTAGTAGCTTGAACATTTTACCTGAACACACTGAAACAGTGTAGTTGATTAAGGTTAATGTGCAAGAAAGGGAGAAATTCTTGCACGCACACAAACAGACTATGACCTGATATTATCTCTGAAGTCTGTCGCTTACCCCTTCCTAAGCCAGGCTTTCTTATACTTCTAAGACAAGAGTAGCTTTACCTAGTTGAGAAAGGGTTCTCAAGAGTTCAAATGATGTTGCAACTGTTTTGCAAAACATACTGAGGAACACTAAAACTCTAGGACATACCTTCATCTCATCCAGCATCTTGAGACATGAAGCATATTTGGATTCATAGAACTTGAAGATGATGTCACGAACCTGGGGTTCTAGCTCTAAGAACAGTTTGAAGGAGCTGTAGATACAAAGGGAGTTATACAATCCAAAGTTGAATCATCTTTTATGTTTCTTTCAAAGAAGGCTAACTCTATTCAATGGAAAAGTCATGTTGATTGTGTGATCATTTCTACAAGGTTGTGAGTGACCGCTGTCTAAAGAGCCAGAGAGCATGGCAGTGGAAAGGCATGACTGTCTAAAATTTGGACCAGATGTGAGTAAGTCTATAATTCTTCATCCTGCCTTTCTTAAAATTACAGGTAGTCCTTGACATATGACCATAATTGACCAATTGTAAGCTGAGGACGATCGGGACCAAGGAAAAGGAATCAGAAGAACTTAAAATTGAGCATGGTGGATACTAGATGAGGAAGACTACTTATCTCTTTCAATCCACTAACATATCCATTATTATTTAGTTTATTTCATCATCAAAGTTCCACAGATTGTTTTACCTGCTGGAGATGACATTACGTTGCAATTCTTGTCGGTCAAAAGTTGCTAGTGCACACAGGCCACCATATACAGCTACATTGCTAGGAGAGAGCAGCTGGAAAAAAAGAGAGAAGGGACAGCCTCTAAAGAATAGAGATAAAGAACCCAAGATTGCCTGAATCCTTTCCCTAGATTTCCAAGGAAAGGAAGAGGTGCCCTCCCAAGGGGAAAAAAACAACAAGGGAGAAAAATAGCTGATCTCTCCAGATTTAGCTTGGACATATGGTCTCGTATGTGCCGTTTTCTCCACATTAAACCCCATTGTTTTGCCAGCTCCCATCTCTTCCACATCCTCACCTCAGGGAAATCACAGTGATCAAATGAGGCCAACAGGAAGCACTTTGCTGCCTGCTTGTACTTCCGGGCAGCTAGTTCAGCCAAGCCTAAGAATGAGATTAAGTTACCCTTTTATGCAGATGAATCAGAAGAAAGAGAAGGCTAGAGGTCAGACAGAAACCTAAGCCTCTTAAATTAATAATAGTTTCTAGGAATAGAGACTGACCTGGGGAGCTTTTTGCAGTTACAACATTGGGACAGATATTGGAAAAACAAATTGGAACATTTTGCTGATCTATTGCACTGCTTGGACACAACCCTTCCCATGAACACTAAGGACGGTATCAGTTAAGGAAGCAAACCATTTTCTCACCTGCGGCACATTTCAATTTGGTAAGGATGGCCTGTGTCTGGCTGTCCCGTTCTCCTCTTTGCTAGACAGGGAGGAGGGGAAAAAAATCAGTCAATCAGCAATAATATTTCAGCTAATTCGTTCCATTAAGCTTGTCTGAGGGAGCAGTTCTTTTCTCTATTTCTTTTCCCTGGACACGGATCAAAAGCCCATCTAAAAGGCAGGTGGATTCATTCAAAGCTCTAAATAGGGATCGTGTGCACAACACATTAACATGTAAGCCAATGAGGAAATGGAATCTCTGCTTCTTTTCATAGGGGAATCTGACCCTCATGTCTACTTCCAAGTTCATTATTAATTAAATAGCTCTTAACAATCCTTCTACAAGTTAAAACAGGACACAGTGCCACAAAGGTACTATAGAGGTACTATAGTCTATATTTTATCAGGAGATCAAAACGGGATAACTGAAAGCAAACAAGGAATCAGCATTATCTAGCATATGGCTACTTCCAAATTCCCATTTGCTTGGGAAAGTGACTTGACTCTATCATTGGAATGTCTTGCCACAGACAAGATGGAGAAGAGCTACTTACCTCTGCAATCTCTGGCGTTGATTCTGCTTTGCTCACGTAGCTCAGGACATGAGACCAGTTTTGAAGATAAACACTGACCTGCAAAGAACCAAGTCCAGACGTAGCTGAGCAACCCATTAACTAACTCGTTCTATTCTGGGCCTCTATTAAAAGAGGTAATTGTGAAAAGAGAGCTTTTGGGGGGAGTTGCGGTAGCCTAATATTACTGACACAATGAGACCTCATGAAAAGTACTGATGGGAAGGTTTATAAGTTAATTGTGAGTTGGGGAAAAAAGCTCTATTTTGAACAGATTAAATTCTACCGTACTTAGTCTCCCCTCTCCAAATAAAGAACTGCTGAGATAAATTGCTGTTTACCTTGATAACATTGAGGCACATGTTAATAACATGTTTTGCACTGGTGCAGTAATCACGGGCTCGTGAGTAACATTTAAGGGCATTGCTGAGGTCTCCACAGTCAAGGTAGTGATCTCCCAAGTCATCATGTCCTCTCCTAAAAAGCAGGTACATGTCAGCTATAAATGACTAAGCAACAGAAACACATTATCCTAAACACTGTTTGCCTTTCTCCAAAAGGTATAACTACAGGGTAACACACAGCAAAGAACGTTCTTATTTATTTCTGGCAGATACTTAGCATCAACACTTCCATAGAAAACTAAAAATGAGGATCAAGTATGTTTTTTGATTATGCTTTTTAGTATTCTACTACATAGTCCACTGTGTTTCATTGCTAAACAGATCCATAGCCTCTTCTGAACATTTATTTCCTTGCAAAAGTATTCATAAGCTACTATGAATAATGCCCACCATTGCTGAGGAATACAACTGTTATGCACATTATCGAAGTCAACAAATGTATACTACATGGCGAAGAGTGCAAGATACATGAACTGCAAAATCTGAGAGTGGGAATAAGCAGTAGCCGCATTAGGAAAAATGTGGGTCACAGAAGGGAAAATTATATTGGGGGATGTGTCTCACACATTACATGTTTAGAACAAAAATAGTATATTTCCTACAACCTTCTGAAGGGTTCACAGAGGAGGGACATTATGGTGAGCCAACTATTTAATTCTTGGGAATGAGTAAAAAGCAGTTCAATCATTCAATTTTCTTTCTCAAGAAACATTTGAGAAATGATCTGTGACTACAGATTATGGAAAAGCTTTTCATGTTAATAGGAAATGTGTAGCATATTCTACACAAAGATTCCTTCATGGTTTTATTTAATGACAACATGTACCAGAAAACAGTAAATAATAAATTCAAGAAAATATCATTTGAAGTATACACAGCCCGTCAAATGATTGCAGATTACATTTTAAAATGTTTTTCTTAGATTAGTTTTACAAATGCGTAACTACCAACTCCAATTTGTTTTCATTGTTAATGTCCTTAATGTCACCTGATGCTTTCCTTGATTGAATTTCCTTTATAATTCTTAAGATCTGTGTCTAACTTTTCCAGTTTGAGAAGAGCTTTTTTGCGTGTAGCCTCAACCCATGCTGTGTCTAGAGGAGGAGGCTCTATCCCACCGTCTGGGACGGCGTCAGGTGTGTTCTGCAGCTCTCTGAAAAGAAAACAGTAGATACACAAAGTGTACAGGGACACAGAATCATGTTACCTAGAGATAGAACAACCTATCTACTACCAGAATCGACAAGAATTGAGAAGGATCACAATAATGCATTAGGAGTACAATTAATTGGTTCAAGACAATATTGATATTTTGATGAGTGGAACTCTAAATTCAGAAAAGGCGTTCGACTCATATATAGAACTCCTATAATGCATTGCCACAGGCAGCACTGAATGGATTGGTGGGAATTAAAACTAATGATCTATAGGAAAACTACTACAGATAGAAAACAAGACAGATCCCTTTGTTCCATGGTTTGAATGAGAAATAGCAACATACCTGTTATTTAATCAAAGAAGTTAAACTAAGAGCCAAGACAATCAAAAGCTGACTTTGATTAATTACATTCTATCTCCCTGCTATGGTGAGCTTTTATTTAAATAGCAAACATTCTCAGATACACTTAATTCTAATGCTTAATTCATCAAAACACCAGAAAGCAAATGAAAGGGCTCCCTTTCTAATGGGTGAACAAATGGCTCTTAGGATGTAAAGAATTTCAAACCATATGCAAGAGCTGGAGTGAAAAAGATAACCATCTGGATATAGTCATCTGGCTAAAAGGGGGCCTCTCCCATGGGTTTCTACTTTTTATATTACACATGGTAGTGCAAAATGTCCATGGGAATGAAATTTGGCAATAATAGTCCTAATTGAAAGCTTAAGTGCTCTACCTTCAAATTTCAGTACAGCCAATAAATACTTTAGACAGACTGACTGCAGTCTATCTAAATATAGATAAGGTAGGACATTAGCACAACAATGTTTTACCAACTGTTGACTTGGAAGTATAAGAAAATATCTTACAATGAACAATGTTGCCCAGAATGGATAATGGTGAGAAGGCTGCTCATTTTCTTCTGAGCTCTCCCTTTTATAAGGATATTTATGTGTGCTATTAGCAAATTCTCCAGAGGATCCAGACTTATTTAATCTTTAGTTTCCATTGTCTAAAAGACACAATATAGTCTCCCAGAATGCTTTTAAATTTTGCTATATTAGCTACAGCTATCAAAAAGGGGTAATTGCTTATTTCAGTGAGTATTGTTTGAAATTTATGCCATAGTTTTTTTTACATCTATTAGATTTTGTGTTAGAAATGATAATTTACATTTCATATTTTGTTGCACATTTGTATAATGGTTAGTTTTAAAACACCAGAATAATCTTTTTAAAACTTTCATAAGTTAAAAGGCTTACTTTTATATATTTCATAGCTACAATGTTTATAATGCCATGTGCAATGCTTAATTCATATCATTCATATTTCTATTAATGCTTTTATTATATTTAACTGTAATTATGCTGTATGGTGGTCACTAACATTCTCTCTGTCTCTCTCATTCTTTATGTGTGTATGTATGTACACACACACACACACACACACACACACACACACGCAGGAAGGCAGACATAGGTATATAGTTATAGATATAGATGCAAAGTCAGTCAAATAAAGATATATACATATCTTTATACTATGCATCCCCAAGAAGCCTCTCAAGACCCTACTTCATTGTATTACCTGGTAGCTTCAGTCAACTTCCGGTGAATCTCCTCATAAACATCCACATTGAATGTTCTTTGGACAAATGAGAGCGCCATCTTCAGGGCTTCCACTCGCAGCTGTGGGCAATGGTCAGCAATGAACTGCAATCTCTCAATCCTCATCAGGCCGCTGTAACTTGCTGCATACTGCTCCAGATCCTGCTCCAGCCGGAATGAAAAGATCATAGATGATAGTGTATACTAGCCCAACTATTAGGGCCCTTATATTTTTAGTCCAAGAACTATAGAGTAACCATAGAGTTCCCAGAGGTTTGCTAGCTCCAGATGAGGGCTGTCAAACTCCCAGCCTGAGGGGCGGATACATCATGTGCTGGCCACGCCCACACCCGGTTTAGCGAAAGTGGGGGAGTCCTGATACGTCACGTGACACCACCTTGACGATATGGGTTTGATAAACTTGCTCTTAAATCCTAAAGAATACAGGAATTATTCCTGGATATTTTTGTTTCTTAATGACAATTATCCAAATTGTACACTTGATTAATTTTTGCTATATTCGGTAATAAGTAGAACAGGTATCTATGCATCAACATTTTCTGTAGAATTAATGCATTGGATGATAATCATGCTATATCATGTTTTATCTCCAAAAAGAAAAAAAAAGTAATAACTGGGCTTATTGAGGAAGTTAGTAAAACAATACAATACCTGTTTTACTCCCACAACAACTTTGTGAGCTATGGTGGGCTGAGATAGAATGACTGACCCAAAGCCAGTCAGCATTTGTGGTTAAGGATGAATAGACTTGAGCTAAGATTTTTCTACTCTTAGCCACATTCTTAACCACAACGCTGTAAAAAGCTCATATGATGACGCTCCCCAAGACTGCAGAGCAGAGAAGGAAGAACTAGGAGGTACAGTTATCACAGTAATAATTTTGCTCCCTTCAGGCAATAGATATGAAGTTCATCTAGACAATGGTAATTTTATTCCCAATATGGGGTTAATCCTGACCTATTTTATAGGGTTATTGTAAAGTTTATAATCAAAAGCACTACTTAAATATAAGAATTTGTTTTAAACTGACAACTCAAGCACTTATATGAGATATAACAAGCAGATAACGCCATCCAGTCTCAAAAAGCTAAGCTGGCTGATATTTATAAGACTGGAAGCTGAAAAAGCATCCTGGGAGAAGGCAATGGCAACCTATTTCCCTACTGGTGCCACTAAAACAACACAGGTATCTTCATAAGGTCTCCAGTAGTTGACCTTCACTCAAAAGACTCTTTATCAACAGAAGAAGAGGAAAACTGTGGACAGTTTTCGTTACATAATGTGAAAGAGTTTCTAACAGTTGTGATTCAGCTCCCTCTCGCCTGCCATTTTAACCGACAATATAAATCAATTTTCCTCTATGTATAAGCAAAGGTTACAAGTAAAACAATAAACAGGTACCATTTGTTTAAAGTAAGGACTGATGGAGAACCTAGGTTTAGGAAGGCAGTTCTAAGAAGCCCGCTCTGTCGTTTTTGTCCTCAAGCACATACCAGAGTTGGGTTCTCCACCACATAGTTGATATCAGGTGCATTTTGCTGATCTTCTTGGGGATCTACATCAATCTGCATGGGCTCTACCGCACCCTGTAATGACAGAGCATGTGAATGAAACAGAAATGAGGAGCCTCACGTCCCAGCCCCAAGGGAAAGATTCCCAGGAATCAGCAAATATAGTTGAACTTGACATTTAAGCAATGCAGCTACAGCTTAGTATTTTCACTCCATGAAGTTGTTTTCCAGGCCTGCCAGAAATACCACCCTCACTGTTCCTTGCTCTCAATAACAAAACAGAGATAACTAACCATTTTCCGAACCAAAAAAGGCAGTTTAATCCCCTCAATTTGAACCAAGGGTATGTATGTATGTGTGTGTATGTGTCACACACACACACACACACGGACAAAATCAATGTCTACAAAGTTTGTTCTTATGGTAAGCAAATAAAACAATGTTATACTGGGAAAGAAATTAACAGAATTTAGCAAATTAAATTGGGATATTTTTCTTACTTGTCAGCTTATTATGTAATTCTATATTGTTTCATATAACTCATAGGAAATTCTAGGCATACTTTTTATTTTCATTCATAATGAATGGAAATAATTGTTAACAAGAAAATCCACTTAAATATTTATGAATTTTTTTCAGCCAAACCCAAGAGCACATATACCTTATACAGTACTGAATATACTGTTATTTCCACAATACTGCCAAGGCTGAAACATGAAATAATAGTCTGAAATTATTGTTGTGTTGTTTTGTTATTCTGCAATAGTTCATCCAAGATCAGGGCTGGATTTATACGTGGGCAATTCAGGGAGTTTGCCTGGGCTTTTAAAAATTTTGGGAAAGGAGAAGACTGCCCTCATCGTGAATTTTCTCAACAACTGAAACAAAGAGCAGTAATTTTACATGGCCTGAGCAACTGCAGATTTACAATTCCATACCTGAAAATGTACAAAGTTATACACTATGGATAAATCAGGCAAGCATACACACTTCAAAAACACGGCTAAAAATGCAAAGAAAAGTAAAACTATTTATAACAAAGGGAGCGAAATATGAACCATGACAAAAGCACAATTAGGTCTAAAGCCATGTCTGATGCTCCACAAATATCATCTTTCACACTTATTGGGTATAATCTTGATCTAAAGGATATCAGTATCAGGTATCTCCCTAGATCATATCAAAGATCCATTTTTATATACTCTATATTCCATCCAATTGAGTTCCTTTGGAAAGCCCATAAGGACATGAAGGCAAAAGATTCAGGAGAATCTAGGCTTCTTGGAAATTAGACATTTACCAATGCGAAATTAAAGAAAATTAGTTTTATAGCATGACAATCTATCTATTACCCATCTTCCTCTGTGGTGTGAAAGCAGGGATTGAATATGATGTCATAGGTTGCACGCTTGATTGCACAAGCGTGCACAGGGCAACCCCATGCCCCAACCTAAAGACCGTGGTGAATCAAGAGGCAAATGCTTCATTGTACAAAATATATGCAATGCATCCCTAACAGATTCCTCTATTTCTAAATCCTTTTTTTAAATTGTAAAACAACAAAAAGGGGTTTAAGGGCTCGTCATTTTAAGCAGCATATGAAGACTATTTTATCTCCTTTAATTAGAAAATTGTTTTGCTGAGACATAAGCCTCACAAAGAAAGATTTTAAATATTTGATCCAAAGAAACTTTTATTGCCATTAGATCCTAAGTATGTTCTTATGTGAAGAAATAATGTTGTGAGTCTTCCAGAGACACTTAGGTGAGATGGATGGCTATATAAACTGAAAAAATAAATACTACTATTGTGACTTTTCACCTGGATTCTATTGTTTCAAAGGATAGATGAAGAAGCTGGACAATAGAATGTTCAATTTCACAGACCCTTCTGTGATTATAAATTAGCTAACTGAACCCACCCAAGGTTTATGGCATTCACCTAAGTTGAATCCTCATAGGGTATTTTAATTAACCCTATGCCCAAAATGGTCTGGATAATGAAACAGTGATAAACCTAGGCTTCAAATTTACTCCATTTGCAGACATTGGAGCTACCAAATTTATATGAACATTTGAAATATACTATCAGGGTCAGATCATTGGTCAATCTATCTTGATAAAATACAGATTGGCAGTCTGAAGTTCTGCAAATGCCATTAGAAATATCCACTAGTTGGGAAGATTAGGACCGAAGTAGCTAGCCTAGCAACATATGAAAGGCCACAGGTTTCATAACTGTAGTCTTATCTGCTTAGCAGAAACTCTCCAAAGCCTTACTCCAAACCATTTGAATTGCCCAAGGTTTTTCCAATTGAAAATCTGCATTCTTTGCATAAGAAAAATGTGCTTTTTCAGAGGAATAGTCTTTTTAGAAGAAATCATAATTTGAGTTATGATTAAAAGTGGGTATCTGAACATATACAAAGGGCAGACTGTTTACCTATGAATCCTCTTGATAGTTTACTTTGTTTTTTGAGTGTACTGTCTTTTGTAAATAAGCTTTTTATGGCAAAGTACTATTTTCTTTTAATTTGGGGATGTCTGAATGTCAAATTGGACAGGGCAATATCAGGATGACATCATGCATGGAGTGGTCATCCAATGCCCTCTACAAACAGCCCTCCTTCTGTCAGCTCCATGACTATATGGTACTAAACTATGATGATGTATTAATGGCGTACTTCAAAACCTAGAAGAGTAAAAAGTACAATTTTCAAATGAATGATCGGAAGTTTTAAGAGATGAAATATTGTAAGGCAGTCATTTCAGTCCTTAAAGCCATTAAGCTTCTTCAAAATATATCTAAAAGGGCCTAGCTTTTTGGCTCCACCCATTCTATGGAGTCTCTAAGAATTGCAGAAAGGTTTCCTGCCATTTACATTGTGCGCATTTACACAAAAATAGGTCTGTGCATGCGTACAATGTTAAAAAAAGAAAAACCAATAAATTTGTGCAATTACAATTGTTCTGTACATGAGCAGAACCAAAAATCAAGATGCCGGTCCCATAGGAGAACTGATTTGGGGGCATGGCAGCCCTGGGTCGCTGCCGGTTCCAGCGACCCAGGCTGCCAAACCACTACTAGTTTGGTCGAACCAGTCCAAACTGGTAGGACCATCTCTGGTTCCTGCTAGACTATACTTTTGCACACACTGTTTTTACTTCTAAGGATTAGAATACTGTGCTTCATTATTCAGCAATTTGCTGCCAAATTTCAACTATATGATCTCTGGAGGCCATTAAAACCAAGCAAAACAATACAGGAGCCATATGCAGTCTCTGGACCATTTATCCCCAATCCAATAAAAGATGGCTAATGATTTCCAAAGAGACAGCCTTCTTCATGCCAGTACCTCATCTGTGCATTCCCTCCCACCCACCATGAAAAAGGGATCCCAAATCAGTCCTGCAATTTTCTTAGCTTTAGTATAGTTGGGTAATCCTGCTGTTGTGTTAATGTCCATTGCTTTGATTTTAAGTCATGACATTTGTTAAGAAAAAAAAGGATAATTGAATGTTGTGTTAACTCCCTTACATAAAAGTAGAAAAATGTTTAAAATACATAAATTACATACATAACAAAGTAAAGCCATACAACTGCTGTGGAAAATTATAGTCCATCACCCATTGCTTCGAGTCTGCATGCTTTCAACTATTCTTAGACAAATATTTTTGCTAGCAGCTCAACAGCATGTAACAAAACCTTTTGTTATTTGAAATACATCCAATTCAGAGAAAGGAGGGGATTTTGTTGTTTTGTTTTAAAAAGAGAATAATATGTCTTAATGTTGATAAAACTTAAGTCATTCTCACTCAGACATCCTTGAGTGCTTTCTCCTTTGAGATACCTCATAAAGTAGGGTGCAGGCTGATAAGCAGGCACTCAGGCTGAAGTCTCCAGATGTACCTGGGAGGAAGAGGTCTGACCTACTGCTGCGGGGAGTGTTGTATAGATCTGTCACTGACGAGGAAGCTGAGCTTGGAACTGAACTATCCCTCATCCTGTCCTGACTCTCTGTACCCCCTCGCCCTGACACAGAGCTCGCCAGCTGCTAAAGGAAAAAAAGGAAGTTAATGCCCCTGCAGTCATAAACAGCTATCATTCATGGTAGGCTTAAATAATATGAACTGGCTTTCTTTCTCTTTCACATAGGCCTTTATTAATATCCATCTTAAAGTTACAAAGAATTAGCATTTATGTGCCACATTAAACAAGCAACAAATGTCAAATCCACTGGCTTGGATGCACAATTTCCTAAATACTGTATTATAAATAGTAAAATCAGAACAGATACATTACATGCAACTTGTGATACTGCAATTATGAAATTGGGTGCAGAAAACTTTCCATGTCACCCTTAGAGAAGCTGTAAAAATACATGGCATCTCTAAAGTAAGAAAGATGAGGAAGGCTTTTTGGGAGGGGCAAGCAAAAAAATTGTGATTTCTAAGACATTATTGTTCTTAATGTGGCAAGGAAAATGTTTTAGGAGACACTGATCAGGGAGAAAATTCAACATCCAAATTCCTCCCTCTGTTGTCATTTTTCAAGAATGTTGGATTTGGTCATCAGTTAAAAACAACAACAGAAAGTCAAAAAACCCTTTGAGAAACAAGAGAACTTTGGGCAGAGGACTGTAACCAGGAAGGAAACAGAAAGATGCAAAGGTTTCTCCATCCTTATTTCTGTCCTGCGATTCTACTATTCTTAATGCAGCAACAATTGTGAAGTTTCCGACATAGGAGATAGAATTTGATTGCTCAAATATCTGTTCACTGGTACTTCAATTTCTGATTACGTTTCAGACATCATTTTGATAGGTTTTTTTTTAAATCTCCAGAAGCAAATGCACAATTACAAGAGCACAAAAAAAGTGTGCCAGTTTATTCCAACTTTTGAGCAGCAGAACTTGCTGGATCATTACATTTCATAACTAGGAGATCACACAACTCTTTCTTATGCAAACTGTAAAGGTATAGGTAAAGGTTCCCCTCGCACATATGTGCTAGTTGTTCCAGACTCTAGGGAGTGGTGCTCATCACTGTCCACTGGTCCTGTGGCCGGCATGACTAAACGCCGAAGGCATACGGAGCACTGTTACCTTCCCACTAAAGGTGGTCCCTATTTTTCTACTTTCATTTTTACATGCTTTCGAACTGATAGGTTACTAGAGTATAATTCCCTTTTGGTGGTATTTAGGGTAGGAACAGACAGCAGATTGTGACAAGTCATTTATATCTACTTCTCCCACTTATACTATAGTATCATGGCACAATTCTGGGGGAAGGGAATAATAAAGGCAAAAACAGACAGACAGACAGACACACACACACACCAAGACCTCTTAAAAGCTGTTTAAATGAAGCCCAACTGCTCTGTTTAAACCGTACAGGGGTATATTCAGTGTTTTTTGGCAGTGGTTTCTCTCTCCAACCTTGTTTCAATTTAGCCTCTGAACGTTTCGTTACCAGACTAGGTAACATCATCAGGGTCATTTTCTTATCCTATCCCTCTTTATCTTTATCAATGCCTATTAAGGGTTCTCAGCCCGTACGTGGAGTGGGAAACTCCGCACCGACCCTTCGGCTGGCAAACAGCCCCCGAGGAGGCCACCTCTAATACCGCGTCTACACAGAGACCCAATGAAGAGCAAGGAGAGGAGGGCAGCGCAGGGGGTTGGGCGGGGAAGGGAGGGGAGCAGCAGAGCCAAGCGCACCGGGCGGCAGGGCCTCTCCATCCGGCGGCCACGGCCGCGGCCAACCGCTCGACCTCGGGGCAACGGATCTGTCTTCGCCGCTCGAGGCCGCCCCTGCCTCCCGCCCGCCCGCCCGCCC